TCAACATCACTTCAGCACTTATACAGATGTTGGAAGCAATCATGGCTTTTCACCCACATATTCCCCATAACCCTCCCCAGTTTTCTCTTACCTCCCCCCACCTTAGAAATTATATGTTGTCTGAAAATATTTTTCTAGTATATTCCTTTCTTCATCCATCTACATCCTAAGTGTTCTTAAAGCCATTTTCAGAGACACTCTTCCTAAATGGTAAAACTTAGTACTTTAGTGAGAAGATGAGAAGCCTGCAACTTTTCTTTAGTGATGAATTATTAAATTCCATGTTGTAGCCTTCTCAGTGAAGTCTCCTTGGGCCTTGATCTGACTTCACTCATCAATGTCACTAGAAGTTTTTGAGCAAGATTAATATTTAAAATACTAACCCTTTCAGCTGAATGTTAATGAAGCAAGAATTATTACTATTATTATTTTACTTTTGGCTTCCAGATTTCTTTTAGTTCTGATTGGCTTACGGCCCTGATTAACTTTTCCTACTTAACCAAGTAGCACTTGGTTTAGTTTTGACTGCTACCTACAGTTAAACCCTGTCGGAGGAGCAAATGCCACTAAGGAAATAATGTTCTAAACAATTGTCCATTTCAGGTCATGTCCGCTACTCACACACTTCATTACTTTACATGCTTCACAATAGTAATAAGCAAACCTATCCATGCTTTTATTAGGGAAATATTCACAGTAGATAAATGCTTAATAAGCTACACCTATTATTTTCCTACTGTGTTCTCCACTCAAGAAGAACAAATTTAAATTATATTGGGACTCAAATATAATATTTATTTAACATAGTCTGACCACATTATTTATTTAAATTTGCTCTTTCCACTCAATCCAAAGTTGTAAGGAGTACTGGATGCTTTTGAAATCTGTAGTAAAATTGTATTTACATTTAAAAACAAATATACACGTTTTAAAAAAGCTTTACATCATCATCGTCAAAGTTTTGACAGACTTGTGGATTTTCCATGCTCTCATCATATGAACTTGACTTATAAAGGACATTGTTGAGCTATTATATGCATCATTAGGAAACTGTTTCATAACAAATGTTCCATCTAGACATGATACAATTTTCATTTCATTTCATTTTATTATTTTATTATCATTTTATTTATTTTGAATTGGAATTCCACAGAAACTTTCTACATTTATTGTAGAAGACATGTTTACTGTAGAGGAAATGTTTGCCCATCCCAACAATTTAGATTAGAGAATACAAAAGAGTAAGAATCTAGGAATATATCTGTGTATGTCTGTATTGAAAACTGGCAGCTTGTGGGTATAAGCAAAAGAATATGTGTGTGTATATATATCAGATAATGAGATAAATTTTCAAACAATTCCAGGAAGTTTGATGCAGTCCTTTAGCCTACAACTGTTAGGCAAGATGCTAGCAGTTATGTGGAAAGTTGTAGACAGAGGCTTCCTGGCAATATGAAAGGAAATTTAATAAAATATAAGAGGAAAATTAATCTTGATAAAACTTTTATTATTTTCTGTGATGTTTTATTGATGACACATTGTACTTTTCCAACCAAAAAACAATCTTGAACAATTGTATCTATACAATCACCATTAATCCACCTTTTTAGTTGGTTTCACATCATTAGTCCTTGCTTTCATTTTTTTCAGTTTCAACACATTCACACAACCACTTTCAGACAACAACAATAACGAAGAAAGAAGAGTCTAGAATGAGAGGCAAAAACATTGACATAAAACTTTAATGGTAACAAAGATGATGAGGAGACATGGGTACAGTTGGAAGGGGAACAGCCAATATAATTTTAATGATATAAATAATTTATATAATATATAAATCATTAATATTTAATTGCCCCTAGAAATCAAAGTTAGTCATATAAGAAATGTTGCTTTTTCCTCTAAGTTTAATAATGGTGCTTGGATGCTGCTTTGAGATATTTTCATTAAAAAAACCCTGTTTTCATTGTGTTTATTTTAACATGTCCTCATAATCTCTTCATTTGGTTATTCTTGTGGATCATGGTAATGCTCTATTTGAATGGGGAAGCAGGCATATGTACTTCTAAAGTAAATAAATTAAAAAACAATCACTGCCTCAGCAGAGGATTACCCTGCGGTAGCTTCATGGCTATAAATTTGAATCTAGCACTTTCAAGAAATCCATGCAAGATAGGAAATAAGCTAATGTCATTCCACTGGGATAAATTAATAAACTTTGTCCATGTTTAGCCTTCAATGTTCAAAACTTTTATGTTTGCAGAAAACTCTCATTAAATGCCTTTGACATAATTGTTAAGGATATTGCCGATGCACCTTTTTTTTTTGTCCAGTGATGTTTTCTGTATCCTATTTCTACTGTAGTACAAATTTTAAGATTCTATCACACTCCTGGGTCCCCATAAAGGTAAAGGTTCCCCTCGCACATATGTGCTAGTTGTTCCCGACTCCAGGGGGCAGTGCTCATCTCCATTTCAAAGCTGAAGAGCCAATGCTGTCCGAAGACGTCTCCGTGGTCATGTGGCCCACATGACTAAACACCAAAGGTGCACGGAACACTGTTACCTTCCCACCAAAGTGGTCCCTATTTTTCTACTTGCATTTTTTATGAGCTTTCAAACTGCTAGGTTGGCAGAAGCTGGGACAAGTAATGGGAGCTCACCCCATTACACGGCACTAGGGATTCGAACTGCTGAACTGCTGACCTTTTGATCGACAAGCTCAGCATCTTAGCCACTGAGCCACCACATCCCTATTGGGTCCCCATACCTGTTGGCAAAAACCATATTCCTAGTGATGGGCCATTTGCTGTAGAGCCATTTGCTATACAAATGCAAGGTTTTGTCATGAACTCAGAAGGAAGGGAGGAGATCAGTGGTGGGATTCAGCCAGTTCGCACCACTTCAGGAGAACCGGTTGTTAACTTTCTGAGCAGTTTGGTGAACCGGTTGTTGGAAAAAATCATTAGGGCAGAGAACTGGTTGTTAAATTATTTCAATCCCATCACTGAAGGAGATGTGTATTTGCAAGGTCTGCACAACCAAGATAAAGGAAAAGGGAGTGTGGTCAGGTGGGGCCCTTTTCAATGTAGAAAACAAGAGCTGACTGTCAGGCACGTCATACAAGACATATTGCTAAGATAAGAAATAGGTCTAAGACAATAGAGCCAATAGAAGACTTGCTAAAACTCTTATAGGATGTCTACTGGTTAACTTTTAGGAATAGGGTTGAAATAGAGCCAATAGAACACTTGTTAGATAACTTTTGAAGTGTTTATTAGTTAAGACTTAGAAATAGGGATGGCATGCAGCCCACAGAGGACCCTTTAGATAACTTTCAGAACGCTTATTAGACAATGTTTCTTTATCCCGCCTTGAAAAAAAATGTACAAAATTCCTTTGTTCTGGGTCCTGGCATTTTGGTGGCCGGGACCCCTTTTGCTGAAGTGCTTCAATAAAAGGAAACAAAACCTGCACCTCAAGTCTGGTGTTTTTCATCGGCTTCAGCACCAGGCTCAGACCTGAATTGGGGACTACACTAGGACCTTAAAAAAAGATAGCAGGATCAGGATCAATCTGATTTTTGGGGAATGGCGTTCCATAGGGTAGGAGACATGACAAGGAGAATATTCTCATTGATGTACATTTTGGATTTTTGGGAAAAGAGCCCCCAGATAGAAGCAATTGACACCTTCCTTGATGCCATAGAACCCAGTAGCACAAGTCAGCTTGTGCTGTGCTAATTAATGTACTATATTTGCAAGTCGCTACAAATCTCTCCAGAGGGAGTCAGCTCTATTAATCAGTTGAGCCCTGCATGAGTCTTCTCTTATGCCATTTCTCATGCCAAAAAAAATGAAAATACACATGAGTAATAGGGTATCTTTCATTTTTTCCCCCTTTAATTTCAAAAACTCTTTGCTCCAAAGAGCAAATGGAAGCATTGGTGCTAACAATTAACACTGCTACTGTTATTACTGTTATTTTTTTCCCCCTCACTTCATATATCTGTCCATGGTTCTGTTATTCCCTTGGCAGGTATGAAAGCTGATTTGTGTCTTTGCATATATGCTGTTTGCAAAACTAATTATAATATGGAAAATAAAAGAAATATTTCAAGGGATATTATCTCTCAGTTCAGACAGCATGATTGCATATACTGAAAATATTTGAATGTGGCACACTGCTTTTCATCAGGAACTAACTCCGTACATCTCATCAACTAGTACAGAGAAAGGGAAAATAACTTTATTTTCAGAGAGATTAACATTCTTCCAGATTTTTTTAAAAAATGTTGAGCATAAACATAAAAAATACTATGAAAAATAAAACTTAGTTTTTTTTATCAGAAACTAATGTGAGATATCAAATCTGATGCCATAGGTTTCATTTTGGACTTGCCCCCTTCAGTTTAATTACTTTGTCTAAAAAAAAAAAAGTGGGAGCAATGCTTATGTCATCTACTATAAATTGCACATATAGGATAAGGATAAGATACTGGCAACCACAGATATGAAAACAGTACTGGAACTGTACTTGATCATTAGAATCAGCAATGTGATATCAATGTGCTGCTAAAAGGAGAACTTTAGGCCATATGAATATTGTTGATAGATCAGGGGAAGAGCTTCTCTATCTTCTGCATTAGTAAGAATCTATCTCTATGTTCCATTTTGGATATTCAAGTTTTCAGAAAAGTTGACCAAAGGAGTATTTGGTACTAAATTTTCAAGGGGCATTAGAGACCCCCTTGACCACACTAGAGAGTACATAAAACAACTAGTTTGGCTAGAGTAGTGTTAACTGGATATGTGCTATATTAGACTTAAAAGAAAAAGCTCTGAATCATATCAGATCATGGCCCCGAGAAGCTTCCATTCTTGGTGCGAAAAGCATTTGCAAGCTGATGGGAGGCTTGAAGCAATGTGATTTTGCTATTTTAAACTCATCGACTTGCAAACATTTTTCATGCAAGCAGGCAAAGAAACTGTGGCAGAAAAGCTGGAGAGGACACAGTTCTTTAGATCTTCACAAGGTAAGTGACCTGACATGACAGGATGGGAAGAGCAATTGTGGGGATCTCAGGGGAGGGAACATGAGGTATCTCAGTGGGTTGGGGGGGCCTTGGATGATCTGAAGCAGGTAGCCTGTTCCATTGCTAGCTAGCCTGTTCCATGGCCTTCCTAACCCTGAGATATCTCATGTGCACTTAACAACCTGTGCATTCAGTTAGTGAATGTGTGGGTTAAAGCAGGGAGTGATCACGTTCATCTGACGTGATTCACTTCAATGAATCCTTGGAGTACAAATGTAATTGGCAGGCTCCATTACATTCGTAACTTGAGGATTACTTATAATGTGTCCCAGGAGGACCAAAAATGCAAGGTCTTCTATGATCAGCATGATACCCCAGGTTTGCAAGTGAAGAGTAATAGCCTATTTTTAAAATCAATTTTTGGAAGTTTGAATTTTTAAATTGAACTCTATGCTGACCCAGTTAGCTTCTTTATGGGTTCTTTGCAAGACATAGATAATATGAGGCTATTGTATTATTCTTTCTTTAGCCCTCTTATCTTTAATTTGCACAAGCTTAAGGGATAGTTATGAGAAAAGGAATTTTACTAAAGTATATGAAGGCAAAATAAATATTCATAGTTTTTTTTTTTTTTTAATTTGATTTATATGCCGCCCTTCTCCGGAGACTCAGGGCGGCTTACAATGCGTTAAGCAATAGCCTTCATACTTTTGTATATATTTATACAAAGTCAGCTTATTGCCCCCACAAACTGGGTCCTCATTTAACCTACCTTAGAAAGGATGGAAGGCTGAGTCAACCTTGAGCCTTGGCGAGATTCGAACCAGCAGTAAATTGCAGGCAGCTGTGTTAATAACAGGGTGCTTTAAACCACTGTAGTACCAAGGCTCTTTTAGTAACTTTTAGAAACTTGAATTCCATTGCTTTAAGAATAAAATGCAAGACCTTATGAGTTATCACATAGCAAAACAGACACTTTTAAACCCTTTTCACTGATGGACAATTGTATGGATGTATTTAACAATATATTCACTTTTCTTTTCTTTTTTAAAAAAAATTATTATTTATTATTTTTCATTATTCATATTTCTATGCTGCCCACTCTCCGAAGACTCTGGGCGGCTTACACCAAAGACAGTATAGCATATTGCCCCCAACAATCTGGGTCTTCATTTTACCCACCTCGGAAGGATGGAAGGCTGAGTCAACCTTGAGCCGGTAAGATTTGATCTGCTGATCTGCTGAACTAGCAGTCAGCTGAAATAGCTGCAGTACTGCACTGCGCCACCTCGGCTCATTCACTTTTCTATTTCATTTTCTATTTTCACTTTTATATTTTATATTTCAAATATATTCACTTTTCTATTTCATTCACTAGTTTATTTTACTTTCTTCTGCATTTTTGTTTGTTTGTTTGTCAAGTTGATTAAATGACCCAAAGAATTTTTAAATAACATCAAATATCTTTTTAATGTGTTCCAATAAAGTACGGTTTTTTCTTTCTCCAGTTTATTTACATTCAAATAATACATATAATAGATCAAATAATATATATAATAGTTTATTTACATTCAAATAATACAAATCATACATTGGCACAGTATTTTCAATCTGTTCTCAGATTTAATTAACAGTCTTTCAGTGAAATGTGATCTAAATTTACAAATTACCAAGCCAAAAGGTTTGAAAAGAATTGAGGTCTCTTCAGGAATAGATAGCCTAACATTTCTAGCACTATGTAATTGGTATGTGAGAATGACCTTGGAAGACAGGAGGAAGAGCTTCAGCCAGGACAAGTGGTGATAAAAAACATCTTACCTTCAAAAGGTGATAAGGATGAGGGAAGTGTTTGAGAAGGGACCCTCCCTATTATTTTAGAGAGTAAAAAGAAAGAAGCGGATTAATCCTTTCAATCTTGCAAGATTCTGTTAATTTAACCTTACAATAAAGACAGATCTAATACTCTTTTTTGTGCATCTTCTCTGGTTAACAGACATTTATCGCAACTAATAACCAGAAATCAAAGATATTAAGTCCTTGTTAATTCAGATGTGAAATGCATAGCCAGTAAAGTAACTGGTTTTCCACTGCTTTTCTGTTGTAATTCTTTTATATGTTCAGGCTGTTCCATCTTCTTTGCCATCTGTTTCATGCTTTGACTGACAGAAAGGAACCCACCTGTCATCATTCCAGAGTTACAACCAGGCTGAATCAACATAGGTCTGAATGTAATCAATTTTAGCAGGGAACAAGATTCACAAATAAATTCAGGGAGAGCTGAACTCCGTATGCAACATAAGGAATAAAAAAAACCACAAATGCTCCGAGCCATGTATTCTATAAGGTGATTCAAGCATTCCAAAATTCATACTAGGGCAATTCCTTTTTAAAAAGCCCACCTCCAGGTCACAAACTGCTCAGGTTACCACACAATCTTTGTCAGCCAAAATGGCAAACAAAAAATAAGACTGGAGGTTAAAATGAGGTTGTGCATTTAACTGCATTTGTAGATAAAATGGAAGAAAGGATTGAAAGCATTTAGGCGCTGTGAAGCTCTATGACCGTGATGGCGAACCTATGGCACGGGTGCCACAGGTGGCATGCGTAGCCATATCATGGACACACTAGCTCAGCTCTGGCTTGCATATGCGTGCTGGCCAGCTGATTTTCGGGCCTTCTGGGCCCAACAGAAGTAGGGAAACAGGCTGTTTCCTGCCTCCGGAGGGTGTGGAAGGCCCATTTTTCTTTCTCACATGTTCCCCAGCCTCCAGAAACTCCTAGACAGGCTCTGGAGGTTGGGGACAGCAAAAAAATGTCACTTCCTGTCCAACTGGGAGTTGGAAAATGGGCCGATTCAGGCATCCAGAGGGCCTCCAAGGGGGTGGAGAAGGCTGTTTTCGCCCTCCCCAGATGCATAGAGAGGATCTGGAGCCAGGTGAGAAAGAAAAATGCCTGCCAGGAGCGGGGGGGGGCAGAAAAATACCTGCCAGGAGCGGAGGGGGAGAGGGGGTTACATGCGCATGCACAGCGCATAGAATTATGAGTGTGAGCACATGCGCGTGAGAACCTCCCCCGCCACTCCCCTCCTGGCACGCGATGGCAAAAAGGTTAGCCATCACTGCCCTATGATGTTACCAGATTGTCCTCAGGAATCTCCTGAGAACTATTGGATTGAATAAACAAACCAATAGGAATAAACTCCATATAAATGATATGCCTGGTATTTTAGAACTATATAATCCATCTGTTAATAACATTCAGGATTCATTCTGAAAATATAGACAAATATAAGGACTGAAATTGGTGAGGTAGATTCTCTGATTCTCATAATAGAGAAAGAGTTTTTGTAAACAAGGAACAGATAGCAGAATCTTTCATGACAGAAACACAAACAACCATATGGCTATTGATTCAGAAAGGTAGGAGAAATTGCCCCAAGAATTAAACCTGGGGCTAATATATGTAGATGGCAGGGTTAGCATTTATGGCTTCCTAATGCTCAGAAGTATGTGTCCTACTCCCTCTGCATTCTAGTTAAGCTAGCTTGTAAATATGCAATAGGAACAAGGTTTAATTGCCATGTCTGGTATGAAGCCTGACACCTGCTTTAGACAGAGAAAGTTTGCAAGAAACTGGAAGCTGCATTAACTGACTATAGGTTTCTCCATTTAATTCATACCTTACACATAAATATGACCTTTGGTTCAGGAACAATATGCAAGGATTTCTCTGTTGTTGTTGTTGTTAGTTGTGAAGTCATGTCCGACCCATCGTGACCCCATGGACAATGTTCCTCCAGGATTTCCTGTCCTCTACCATCCTCTGGAGCCCATTTAAGCTTCCGCCTATTGCTTCAGTGACTCCATCCAGCCCCCTTGTTCTCTGTCGTCCCCTTCTTCTTTTGCTCTCAATCTTTCCCAGCATTAGACACTTCTCCAGTGAGTCCTTCCTTCTCATTAAGTGGCCAAAGTATTTCAGTTTCATCTTCAGGATCTGACCTTCTAAAGAGCAGTCAGGGTTGATCTCCTCGAGGACTGACTGCTTTGATTGCCTTGCAATCTAAGGGACTTGCAGGAGTCTTCTCCAGCACCATAGTTCCAAGGTCTCAATTCTTTGGTGCTCAGCCTTCTTTATGGTTCAACTTTCATAGCCATACATTACAACTGGGAAAACCATAGCCTTGACTATACGCACTTTTGTTGGCAGGGTGATTTCTCTGCTTTTTAGTATGCTGTCTAGTTTTTCCATAACTTTCCTCCCCAGGAGCAAGTGTCTTTTAATTTCTTGGCTGCAGTCCCCATCTGTGGTGATCTTGGAGCTCAGGAAAATAAAATCTGTCACTACCTCCATTTCTTCCCCATCTATTTGCCAGGAATTGAGAGGGCTGGATATCATGATCTTAGTTTTCTTAATGTTGAGTTTCAAGCCAATTTTTGCATTCTTCTTCAACCGCATCAAGAGGTTCTTTAATTCCTCTTCACTTTCTGCCATTAGAGGGGTATCATTTGCATATCTGAGGTTGTTGATATTTCTCCCGGCAATCTTAACCCCAACTTTTGATTCATCTAGCCCCGCCTTTTTCATGATGTGCTCTGCATGTAAATTAAAAGGGCAGGGTGACAGTATACAGCCTTGCCAGACTTCTTTCCCAATTTTGAACCAATCAGTTGTTCCATGTCCAGTTCTCACTGTTGCTTCTTGACCCGCATATAGGTTTCTCAAGAGACAAATAAGATGGTCTGGTACTCCCATCTCTTTAAGAACTTGCCACAATTTGTTGTGAGGATTTCTCTAAAAGCTGTTTAAAACAGAAAAGAGGGATGTATTTTGATCCCCTGCTTTTCCATTTTTGTATCAATGGTATGATGAGATAAAAGAACTCTTGAGAACTTTGATGCAATACTGCAACAATGGAAATAAACTATTAGAAAAGCAAGATTATGGCTTTTGCCAAAATAGTGAAACTGCATTTATGGAACATTAATGACCATAAAGCAGAACAAGCAGTGGTGGGATTCAAATAATTTAACAACTGGTTCTCTGTCCTAATTATTTCTTCCAACAACCAGTTCATCAAACTGCTCAGAAAGTTAACAACCGGTTCTCCTGAAGTGGTGCGAACTGGCTGAATCCCACCACTGAGAACAAGTGACTATTTTTGGATATTTAAGAGTATGCCACTGGCTTGAGAAAGACCACCACGTAAATGCTGTTGCTACTTGACAACAATCTGCCAGCACTATCCTAAATTTTTTCTAGTTCATGTTAGTTGGGAGGATCTAGCCCAATAACTCACAATACAAAATAGTAATTGTTGCAGTTTATTTATTTGTAGTTATAAATATATCACAGTCCTAGATATGCACTAGTAACTGACCTATGTCTTTCCTTCTCAGGTATATGGCTGGAACTGACCTGGTGCCCATGTGGACCACCCTTTTATACCCAGGGGGAGGAGTCAAGGTAAGGTGGGATTGTGGGAGTGATGGGTTGTGTAGTAGTGTAGTAGCCCTTGATAGGCCATGGAGCAGTGGGGGCACTGCTGGGCTTTATGGAGCTTTATGGAGCTGGGCTAAGTGGAACAACTTGCCTGCAGAAGTTGTGAATGCTCCAACACTGGAAATTTTTAAGAAGATGTTGGATAACCATTTGTCTGAAGTGGTGTAGGGTTTCCTGCCTGGGCAGGGGGTTGGACTAGAAGACCTCCAATGTCCCTTCTATGGGAGTCTGGTTGGCATCCCATCTTCATGTTTAATCTCCCTGGAGAAATACCATCTAAATTCATCAGAGCAGCTCTCTTCACTGTGTCTCAAATGCACCTTTACAACTGGAGACTTTTCAACTTTTCATATTCATGTATTCAAGTATTCATATTAAATACTTGACTCAAGATTGTGTCTAGCTTCAATAAACGTTTGGTTAAAGCTTAACTTCTATTCTCAAGGCCTAGCACCATTAATTTTCAGGACATTTTTCAATCATAGCTCAAGGCTGCTGAATCTAATTTTTTAAATCTAGGCTACCCACTCAGTTTTTAAGATGGCATATGATCAGGCAAATTAAACTCTGAAGCAAAAGATGAAGATCTAGGAAAGGTCCTAGTCTTTCTGTCACCAGTACACAACAGATATATTGCCAGGTACCTTTCATAGCTAGGAATACCCAGACATTAAAAAAACTTACTTGCCCAGTGCCATGCTCTCCCCTCTGCAGTATTGGGTAGTAAATATAAAAAAAGTACCATTTACTGAAAGGCTCTGCCCCTGTGATTCTGGAGACGTGGAAACTACAGAAAATGTTCTTCATTGCTCCTTTTATGAAGACATCCAAACAGGATTCATACAATCTCTGATTGATAGATATCCTGGTCTCCTAGATTTGGCCTTTGTCCAGATGTTGTTCTGAAATAGCAATAGTCCTGTGAATATACCAATTCACAGTACTTTACAGCCTCTCTAAGTGGTTTACAGAGTCAGCATAGTGCCCCCAACAATCTGAGTCCTCATTTTACTGACTTTGGAAGGATGGAAGGCTAAGTCAACCTTGAGCTGGTGAGACTGGAACTGCCGGACTACTGGCAGTCAGCAGTCAGCAGAATTAGCCTACATTATTGCATTCTAACCACTGTGCCACCGCAGCTCTTGTCCTGATTGTAGTACATGTAGCTAGGTTTTGTGCAGCAGCATGAAAAATCTGTTGGACCCTGATGGGCCAATCTTCCACAATGCACTTTATAACTATAACTCATTAAATGTTCTATATTATTAGTTTGTTGTAATTTTATATGGTATCATATTTAATATAATTTTAGTGTTTATATTATAATTTAATATAGGTGCATCCTGCTCCTCATTTATAGATATAAATTATAGATTAGTTGGGTTGTTTATAAATGTATTTTAACTTGGTCTTAAATTTTATTTTGCTTATTCACTCACATACTCACAGAACACTCTGTGTAGAATCGAGCTGAATATTGAGAAAGTCAGATATAATTTCAGAAGCTATTCCAAGATCTTAAAACAAAAATTATAAAAACAAATTGAGTAACATTTCCTATTTAGCTAGAGAGCATTTCCCTCAGAGTACTTTCTAGTTACCTAGAGAATATTGCTAATTAGATGAGAATATTTCCTCAGAATACAAATTACATTTTCAGAGACCATAAAATCCTCTTTTTGTACTGAATACCTAAATTTTACATATTATAAATAGCAACTTGTACAGGTAGCTTTGAATATTTATAAGGAAATCTATTAAAAGACAGACGTTCTATTCTATTTCTTTAAACCATTCTTTCAAAATGAGAACAGAGTGCCATTCATAGTGTGACTTTCCCCCTAAATCTCAAAAGAAATGTTTTCCCTGTGGAAGGATTTATATATGTCAGAAGCAGCGAGTTACCCTTGTGCTAAATTCTACATTATGTTTTGACATATGTATTACAACTTACTTCATGTCCTGACACCCTGCTCTGTGTCTTTGGAATTTCTTATTCCACGTTCATTGCTGCTGTTGCTACTGCCAAAAAATTATACTGCCTACTATGACAATTGCCACTTCTGGAGGTCACTTTTTCAACTTAATTATGTTAGGAGAAGCAGAGAGATACTAGCGCTCATAGCTGCTGCCTGAAGAATTTTATAGGTAAGTGGGTTCTGCTTTGAGCTACAAAAATCAAAAGACTGATATTTTCTTAATGATGGATGACTTCTGCCCATCTTATAATTACCTTGCTTTTTAGAGCTTCTTGGAGAATTATTACAGCTTTTTTTAAAAAAACATTTTTTCTCTTTTCTTGTTACCAAGAGTTTCCTGAAATAGCACATAAACAAAACTGCTAATATTCCATTTGCATTTTAGGTTCTTGGTATGATACCGAAGAGTTACTGTAAAGTTACTGTAAATCTTGTAAAGTAATACAGTTTTTGCTGATCACTGATTAAGAGGGATTTCTGGAGTTCCAGGAGGGAAAAGCTAAGGCTTTTCTAGACAGGGCTTTAGCATCAATGACAGGTTTTTGATGGTGCCAGGATTGTGGCCTACAATATATCATCTTAGTTAGTTAGCAGAAGCAGTAAGAACATGAAAATTCATGAAGTATAGTCCCAATGAAGTAGAGTAATCACAAAGCAAGAAGCTCATGGACAAGCATTTGTGATTCAGTCTACAAACTTTATTTTTATGCCTGTGAAAGTTTGGGGCTGTGCCTATAAATGTTAGCCTCACCCAATTGCTTATTGTCAAGAGATTGAAACCAGGCACAATTGTGCAGAATTTAAAAGTAAGGGAGGATGAGGCCCATGCAAACAATGGTGAGAGCTGAACTGAACTCTCAATTGTATGACGGAACCAATACAGAAGTATTGTATTACATTCATGCAAGATAGAGAGCCAAATTAAGGTTTGTGGCCCTACTGAAAAAACCTGAATGCTGAGACAATGAAAACATACAAACGTTTTGCCATTTGAAAAAGAATAACGAGTTTATAATGAGTCATTAAGCCAAATGGAAAGCTACTCATGTCTATGTCCAAGAGTTTATCACCTTTCAACAACCTGCCTCAGCATTTTCTGCACATGGAATTGAAGTTACAATAGTGTATATTGTCTGAAATAAAAAAAGTGGTTGGTTAGTTGGTTGGTTCGTTGGTTCGTTAGTTGGCTAGTTGGTTGGTTAGTTCATTCATTCATTCATCCAATTTGTGTAGCTGCCCATCTCAATAAATATCTGGGCAGTAAACAATATTAAAAAAATAAAAACAATTCCAAGCCCAAATATAAGAATTAAAATTAAACCTTTCAACCCATGATTTCCTTTGTAAAATAAGGGCTGGTGGAGGAAAGGAAATGGGTAGAGATGAAATTTAGAAGAAATTAATATAACAAAAATAGCACTGTCAGAGGTATAGAATATGGAATATTTTATTGTATGTTTGTATATATGTACATATAATACATATAATATATTTATATAGAATAATGGAAATTAGTCAATAGGTGACGTTTATGTACTGTATATGTAAATTTGTTTCTCAATTCAGAGAAACTTGTATGTTTTTTTTAAATGTTTTTTCTTTTAAACAATAAAGTTTAATTTTAAAAATTAAAAAAAAAAGTAAAATAAGGGCTGGTGGCAGAGAAACTCATTTGGAGATAATGGAATCTTGAAGACTTCAAACTGAAATTTAGAAAACCTATACTGCTTTAGATTGACTTGAGTTGACACAGACCACAGAAACAAAAACTTAGATTTGTTTTTACCCCATTTTATGCAAAATGAAATATGTGTGTATGTGCATGTGTAGTTGTTTTAATTATTTAATCATATTTATATTTAATCATATTGCTTTCTTCACATCTATTTCTTAAAGCCTCAAGCATAGCTAATTAGTTTGCATAACATTGTGAAAGATCTCTCTCTAGCCTCAGTTGACAAGACCGGGAAAATATCTGTTTTTAAAACATGCTAATACTTCTATCTATCTCTTTCTGTCTCTATATATTTCTGAATTTAAGATTGTAGTGTAAATCAACTAACTCTTTATATATGTACATATTATAAGTTTCACATACCATATTTTTCGGAGTATAAGACGCACCAGAGTATAAGATGCAGCTTAGTTTTTGGGGAGGAAAATAGGAAAAAAAAAATCTGCCTACCAGGTATTCATCTGGCTAGCCTCCTTAGTCTGGTCAGCTTCAGCACATTAGTTTGCTGGTTTTTTATCCCCTGCTTGGGGATAAAAACAGCTTCTAAGGCACAGCTGAGAGAAAGCAGCAATGAGAAAAGCAGGCAAAGCACGGGGAGATCACTTCACTCGGCTAGCGCCTAGTTAGGGCTGAAAAAAAGCTTCTAAAAACAGCTGAGAGTTGGAGCAAACCATGGAGATTGCTTCACTCACTATTCCCTCATTAAAGCATAGTGGAGAATCGAGGGAGCAGGCAAAGCTGGGAAGATTGCTTCACTTGCTAGCGCCTCATTAGTGCTTCGTTAGAGTTGAAAAAAAGCTTTGAAAAAGCTACTTTCGGAGTATAAGACATACCCAAATTTTCAGCCTCTTTTAGGGGGGAAAAAGGTGTGTCTTATACTCCAAAAAATATGGTATATATATATATACTGCTCTATTTTGAACCCTTTGAATGTCCAAATTCTAATTATTGTAGAAATTTCACAGGAATTCATTCTCTCTCTCTCTCTCTCTCTCTCTCTTTCTCTCTCTCTTCCACTCCCCCTCTCTCTTCTTTCCCTCTCTCCCTCTCTCCCTCTCTCTCTCTCTCTCTCTCTCTCCTCCTCCTCCTTCCCCCTCCCTCCCTCCTTAGCAATTGGCCTTTTTCTTGCTGATAGATATTGATCTTATCTTCTAACACCTTCTAGCAACCCCACCATGCCCACTGCTAGAAGTTGTTCTGTGGTCCTCTTCTGATTTTCAGCTTTAGCACACTGCTTTAGGAACATTAGA